GTACACGAACTCCTACATACATGCATACACCTGCAATTTGCCTGTTTTGTGTCTCTGGAATGAGTACACTGTTGACAAATCCCTAGTCTGTGAAGCACAATTTCAACAAATAATATTCTGAAGAGGAACTCAAGAGGATTAAAACTTTCACCCATATTCCTTCTTCCAGAATTGCATCGTTATTTCATTTGTGCTTTGTGAAAGTGCAGTGTTTTGATAAGGGCAGTCACCACACCCCAACGCTGAACAACGCACAAAGACTGGGAGGCGTCATTGCAGACAGATGATATAATGCTGCATTCCTCTGTGCAAATTCTGAGAAGACATTCGTTATACCTTGTGGTATTCATGCTACATATTTGATTTTAAAGCTCCACCCTTGAGTCCAGTGGTCAATATCCATTTTTTACATTCACCTACATTCACCTACATCTTTAGTTTCTTTAGGACTTTTTTTTTTTTTTTTACATCTTTAGGACTTTTTTAAAATTATTTGGTAAGTTTCAATACTTGTCACCTGTCAGCTTTGAACTGAGAATGAAAGAATTGTCCCTGAATTGAAACAAATGCACTCCTGAGCTCATCTTTTTTCTATTTCAAATAAGATTCATTTTAAGAAAAACTCTCGGAAATACTTACTACTTTGAAAATATTTATGTTAAGCATATTCTGAATCATATCCAACACCTGCTGTTGATCAATCTATCATGTTCACACTTACTTTAATACTCCCACAGAGTAAATAGAAGCCCGAGGGAATTTCTTTTTTTTTTTTTTGTCAACTCAACCGGTTTAGACTACTTCACCAAATTTCACAACACCAAATATAAAATGATGTGTTGAAATAGTATTTGGAAACCCTCCAGAAGTCTCTGATGTTCACTTATGTAGGGATACTGAAAAAAAATGAAAGGGACACTTTTTAATTTCAGGACAGCATTGAGTCAGTTCAACTTCTGGAACACTGATCTGGCCAGTTAAGTAATAGAGGGGGTTGTTAATCAGTTTCAGTTGCTTTGGTGTTAATGAAATTCACAACAGGTGCGCTAGAGGGCCAACAATGAGACAGTTCCCAAAAGCCGGAATGGTTTTACAGATGGAGGTCACTGAAGTTTTTTTCCTCTTCATCTTTTTGGGCTGTTTCTTCAGTAGTTTTGTATTTGGCTACGGTCAGTGTCACTACTAGTAGCATGAAGCGATGCCTGGACCCTACAGAGGTTGCACAGGTAGTCCAACTCCTCCAAGATGCCACATCAATATGTTGTATTACAGGGTTTGTAAGAGTGCTGGACAAGGACTGTAGAGGGTACTTAACCCATTTGCTCCTTTGTGCAAGAGGGAACAGAATGAGCTCTGTCAGAGCAAAAAAAAATAAAAAATCTGATGAGCAGAACGGTGGGGTGAATCTCTCTGACAAAACAATCAAAAACAGTCTTCATGAGGGTGGCCTGAGAGCCCATTTCTTCTGCCGGGCACTGTGCTCACTGCCGGCCACCATGAAGTCTAACTGGCATTTACCACAGAATACCAGAATTGGCAGGTTCACCACTGGTGCCCTGTGCTTTTCACAGATGAGAGCAGGTTCTCCCTGAGCACATGTGACAGACCTGAAAGGGTCTGGTGAAGTCATGGAGAACGTTATGCTGTCTGTAACATTGTTCAGGATGACTGGGTTGGTGGTGTGATCTGTGATTGTCTAGAGATTGTTTGGCTTTGTAAGCATTTTTTATTTGGAGATTATGTCTCCATAATGGGATGGGCATAATGAGGCTGCTGCAATCAGAGGCATATCCACGGAGCGACGCACAGAGCTGATTTCAAATTGAAATCCTTGAAGCCACTGTCAGTCTTTTTGTTGGGGCAGTGGGTGCTTTAAATTTACACCACTAATGAGCCCCCACACTCATCTGGCTTATATCCAACCCATCTGGGACACTATGTTTCAGTCCATCTGATGTTGCACCTCAGATTGTCCAGGACCTTAGTGATGTCCTGGACAGACCTGGGAGGAGATCCCATGGGACACCATCATCGTCTCATTAGGAGCATGCACAAACACTATCAGACATGCATACAAGGCACGTGGGGGCTAGAAAAACTACTGAGTACTATGCAGTGATATTTTTGCAAAATGGACTAGCCTGCTGCATCTTTTTTTTATACCCCCCCTCCCCCCCACCACCACCACCGTTTTTTGTCTTTGGTTTTTTTTGGTTTTTTTTACTTTAAATTATTAATTTAGTTTCTTTAAATTTTTTTGAGCAGTGTGTTATTGTTCAGGTACTTTTTTATAATTTCCAATAATTTCCCCTGGTTTCCTCATTATTCTACCAATATGTGAGGCATTTGACAGGAGTACACGGTTTTCGGGCGCATGCTAAAGAGCAAGTTGAACTGGTTTGACGATAGGAATCTCAGCACAAAGACGTTAGAGTAAACACCCTCACTGCTAGTTTCTCACATTGTCCCACAGACACTGGAGATAAGTTCATGACTGACACGACAACAGACTAGCAGCAGCGATCTTTGTTTCAAATCATCTGGAGCGAGTACAAACCACTATATTCGAGTAGTAGTAGACAGCTTTTTCTCTGGTCTATTTGGCCAATGAAATAATCTTACCTATCCTTGTTCTCTTAATGGAAACACAGGTGAGTAACAATATTTCTGATAGAATCCTAAAAATAGTCACCGTATAACTGCATTTACTTGATCATTAAAAAAATCGTTTTAAAAAGTATTCATCATTTAGTATTTCTCAGTCTCTAGTCACCTTTGTTGTAGAGCTGTTGTGTAGTTGTCAGAGAAAACAATTTTTCACACAAATAACACACAAATAACAAAAGTTCACAGCATAAAATATTTTCTCCTGTTAACTGCATTTCCAGGTACAAGTGAACATGGCACACAATGAATTCAAAGAGGAGCGAACCAAAGAACTGGTGGCGGAGATCACAGAGGAACAATTTCTCAAAGATCTCTACCTTTTTATGAAGAAGAGAGAAACACCAATAGAAAGGATCCCACATCTGGGCTTCAAACAAAGTAAATATTATCTATTACAGCACATTTGGATTCACAGCTCAAGAATGTGTTAATTCACTGTTGTTTAATGTGAGAAAAAAATGATGTCCAAACACTTTAGAAAGTATGTTATATTCTCATTAAAAATATTTTTAATATTTCAAAAAGAAAATGCGTCTGTACAACATGTTTTGATGGAGAACCTACCAATAAATCAGTAGTAGCGACAAGAGTAAAGGAAACATCTGTAAAACTTTGCTTGATTTGCAATTTGCTTCTCTTTGCTTGTAGATGTTTGTAGATGTAACTTTGGGTTAAATTTTGAGCTAGTAATCAAGATATAAATATTTGTTAAATTATTCATCAGGTCATTGAATAAAGACGAATTATTACAATTATCGAATCCAGTTTCTTTAAAATTCATCCATCATGAATGCCTTTTCTTTAAATGCTATGAAGATGCCATGAAGAACATGTTCTTCTTGCTACAGTTTCTTCATTCTGTTTTAAAACAAGTGCTAAAGCAAACCACTGCTATTAGCTTCAGCTCCGAGAAACTGTGATATTTAGTTCTCAGTTATTAAATGTTTTGTGAAAGTAATTTTTTGAAAGGGTTTCTAGTGAAATTAATATTCCTAAATTTGCAACTGTGTCAATTTTATTTTAACATGTATGTCTCTCCTTTTTTCAGTTGATTTATTTGTCATGTTCAAAACTGTCAATGACTTGGGCGGCTACCACCAGGTAATAATCTAATAATCTCATTATTATGAGAATAATTTTGATGATCATGATGGCTATTATTATTATCATTAATAATAATAATAATAATAGTAATAATAGTAATATTGTCATTGTAATAGTAAGTTAGTATTATAGTATAGTAGTAGTATATTAAAGGTATTTTCAATTAAGCTTGCAGTAAAAATAATATTGCTAAGATGTCAAAACTCACAGTCACACTTTTGTATTACTCTAGGTGACTGCTCAGCAACTGTGGAAACAGGTTTACAATACACTTGGTGGAAACCCTCGAAGTACAAGTGCAGCCACCTGCACCCGCAGACACTACGAGAAGTAAGTTCCAATTATGCCCGTCCGTCCATCTGGCTGTGAATGGGTGTTGTATTGTCTTTATCTGATCCTTTTTTTTTTATTTGTGTAGGCTGCTGCTGCCCTATGAATGCCACGTGAAAGGCATTTCCATCAGGTCCATGCTGCCTCATCATCAGCCAAAGCCATTCCACTTTGTTGCCGGCTACAGTGAAGAAGAAGAAGACGATGGTGTCCAGAGACCAGCGAAACGTAGGCTGGTATCCGTACCAGTGTATCAGGTAGGTATTGTTTTTTACTGACATACACACAAAAAAAAATATAACAAAATTGATTTATTGCTTTGCATTGATTAAAATTATAGAAATATTATTTATTAAATTAAATGAAAAATTATTCCATATTGAACAATTTACTCTTGTTGCTATTTAGAAAACCTTTCATTGTTAGTTAAATATTTTATCTTTAAAACACAATAAATAAATCCTTACATTGAAGGAAATTTATGGGGGGTTTTTTGTTTTGTTTTTTTGAAGAATGGGTTACATAGGAAGTTAAGAACCTCATGGATTGTACTGAAAATATGTAACAGGTGCCAAAGCCTTGTTAAAGTGAAGGCATAAAGAAAATAATGAACAACTATCAGGCTAACAGCAACACCGTGTAATTTTTATCAAGCAGGAATGAGAGTGGAATTACTTTCTTATGTAGCTCCATAACTCCTCTTCAAACACCTGATGAACCGTTGTGTTTCTCCAGCAGAACCCTCATAACCTCCAGACAGACCAACACGGAAATCTCTTCCCTCTGTCTGTCCACTACCCTCCCTACTATCAGTCAAGCCCCACAGTTCTGCCTCCCTACATCCCTATGCCCCCCTCAATATTGGCCACACAACACCCCCCTGCTCCCAAGCCCCAATTCTCTTACAGTCAACCTTGTGTAAACTCAACAGAGAGGGTGAAGGAACCATTAGAGCACTTGCGTTACCTGGCTGAGCGGTACAAGACCTCATCCGGACTGGCTGAGCCCCTGAACCTCAGCGTTAAATCATCAGCCCGGGACATCAGCAACAACCCTGTTTCATCATTTGCTCCACCCTCAGCCAGCAAGAACCCAAAGTTTTTGAACAAACCATCCACACTATATGCCCATCATCATACTGGGGCCCCGACAAATGAAGGCTCTGAGACACAAGATGGGGAGTCAAGTGATGGAGTTGCACCCTCTCCTTATACCATGAAAGCACAGGAGGAACAAGTTATTGATGTCGATATTACGGCACCCTCAAGCAGCCCCATATATGACTCTGCTCTGCCACTGGGAACAGAGGCTGCTGCAGTGGCACAAAAACCCTGTTCTCCAAACACAGACCTTGCACTCACGCCAAAAGAAGAGACAAAAGTGATTCCAGAAGTGATGGGGCTCAATCTTAGCCAAATACTGTCCAGTCTCCCTCAAGAGAAGGATGGCAAAATGGAAATTGAGTTACCCCTGTCAGTGTTTCATAAATTGCTCAAGATGTGCAAGTCCTCAGCAATGATGCATGAAAGTAAGGTTCCTCAGCCTACTCAGGAAGGACACCCTGCAGAAAGGAATTGGCCTAACGCAAACACTTTCCCTACCAACCTGACATTTCACACAAATCCCCAACGCCAGAGTTGTGCTGACGATCTAACATTCAGAAATGTGCCAAACCTCAGTCACAACAATAAAATCCAAAACCAATTCATGAGTTACAAGCCTTTGCCTTCAGGTGCCATTTTGAAAAATGCAGTAAACCAGGATGTCTTGTCAGTTGATCAGCAGGATATTAATAAGTCATACAACTCCAAGTCACCCAATTTCTGGGGTGCCCATAAGAGAGAGACCCAGTCATCCATTGAAGTGGAGAGCGACCCTAGTCCCCCCAGGACTCAGCCAGACTTTGCTTATAAATTCTACGCAGGTGTCCAGGGAGGGAAGCAGCAGGCAGAGACGGAGCCTTCAGCTATGCTCATGGTCAATTCCAGCTCTGCTCCTCTCTTTCAGCTCACCACTGAAGAAGTCATGAAGCTGAAAAAAATCATCTCAAACTCATTGTAGAGACCAGTTAAGACAATACCACAAACACACCAACACCATGTTAAAGCTGGCTAATGCTCATATTATAGCTCTATATTTTGAATATACTTCAGGTTAATTTCCAATCAATTTGTATCAGCTGAACACAAAAAAGGAATACAAGCAACAATTCAAATCTGCTTGATTTAAAGATAATCTGCACTATTTTTGTTCTGCACTGAAATGTTGATTGCATTTAACACTTCAGTCGCATTGTTGTGCAATCTTGTTTAAAGCACATGAAGTAGATTATTTTTTCTATTTGTTAATAGTTGGGTTTTTTACACCAGTTATATTGTGAAATTAATCTGTTGAAACAATAAATTCTTTTTGTAAACCTTTCCCATCTGGAGACAGTTTTATTTTTGTAAGCTATAACTGCAACGCTCTACACATTTACATGTAGTGAACACTATTTTATCCTTTCATTTTGTGGATCATTTCTCTTAATCCTCTTTTTTCACTTGTTTTTAAAGCATGATGTTATATCTGAACTTTACTATCCAAATGTGACATTTACTTGTTCCTTTTTTTTTTAACATTTTTGTAGTTGCAGTAGAATAAAAGACGTGTTTTCACTTTAGTGAAAAGAAGATACGTCAGTTGTCCTTTAGTGAGCATTGTTTTTATTTATGTAATTACTACTCTTTGATTGAAAGCGTGGAATTTTAAGGTGTGACAGCCACATTGAGAAAGAAGCGACACTCCCACTGCAGTAAACTTAGACGTTAATTTATTACGTGCAAATTTCTAATTAACATCACAAAAGTGCTGCGAAATCTATTATGATTAAATTCTTTTTTATTTTTTTTATTTTTTTAAATAGTGCTTTAAACCATTAACAGTGGGAACAATACTGAGTAGATCAAAGTTGATCCTACTGTTTCCTGGGTTTGTTTTGTTTTTTTCTTTTATTTCCCCTAAATGCATTTTTGACATTTCAAAATGCTTGAAAAAAAAACCCCAACGGTGCCTGAGAGACATGTAACATGTTCAGACAGGAATTTGACTGTCACTACACAGCACAGTATTGCTTAACCCGGGCCTTTGTATGGGTAGTCAAAGTTTTAAAATAATCATATAATACTCGTGTGTTGTCTATCCATTTATCCATTTTCTTCCAATTACCCAGGGTCAGAGACTAGCCCAGCTGTCATAGGCCAAGAGGCAGAGTACACCCTGGACAGGTTGATCAAAAATAGCTTTTTTCTTACGTAAAATCTGTTGACAGGAGTACTAGCCCAGGAAACCCTCGAGCCAAATATAATTTAGTGCTTCCATGTTACACATATTCTATTTAAAGAGGGGAACGCAGTGTGCTTCACATCCTCAAACGTGTGCACTGGCATCAAGGACAAACTAAGTTATCTCAAAAGTTCACTTTCAGATTCATAATTTATAAGGAAATTTGTATTAATTCAAGCTTAATTAATTATTAATCAATTTTAGCTTTACATTTACAAATTGTTTCAAAGTCCTTTATGATAACATACAGAGCTCAACAAATTTATTAGACCACCATCCAGTTCATGTCACAATTGCCATAAATAAACATTACCAAAATAATGTCTTATCTCTAATTGTTATCTACCAGTATGCTCAAGCTCTGTAATTATAATAATAAAATATAATATATATAAATATATATAATAAATAATAAATATATATATATATATTTTATAATAAAAATTTTATTTTTTAATAATGAAATGTAATTGTTGTTGTCATCCATGAATTTTCAAGTTTCTTTTTTCACAAAGCAAGGCGAAAACAAAATACTAAAACACAATACTTAACATAAGATAAGATTTTAGCATGACGTGAGGCCTCGAAGGATTCTGTGCATCCTTGGCATCTCCAGATACCAGATTAGATTAGCGCTAATCGCTTATTGAATTCTCACGCGTCCTCTTTAGCATTAAGGCACACCCAGTGACAAACTTCTGAGAAACCCTTCTCTGATTCCTACCTGCTTTCTCCACGAATAGTAATAACCTTTTTCTCGTTCCACAGGATGTTGACTGGAAGTGTAGAGTTTTATATGCTTCCAAGAGGTGTGGCCAAAACAAGCATAACATCAGTGAAAATATTTGTAGACAATGCAAGGTGTGCTCTTGATTTACGGTAAAAAGATTTTCTTCCTAGAGTATTTGCCTTATGCCAGACTACTTCTGCTATTTTCTATAATAGCACGATGCTTTTGTTAATCCACATTAGTACAACTAAAATTTAAAGCATGTGTTCCTGTGTAACAATAAAACCAGGCGAAAATATAAATGCACCTGTTGCTGCACATGATACTCAAATTAGCGAGACATGATTTTATCCCAGTGGGTGCCTAATGGATGTTTTCATGTTTATCACAGTAAGTAAAGATAAGGGGGCAAGGTAAATGGAATCAAAATTAGAGTGGAATCTCATTATATCACCTCGACTCCAAAAATTGCTAGCTATTGTTGTTGGATAAACAGTTTGGATTCATTCAGGAGTAGCATAAAAAAGTAAGCACAGTTGCGTAATTCTGGTGACCTTCCAAATCATGAAAGACCGCCAATTATCATGTCCTTCTCCAACTCCTTGACTGGGCAAGGTAACCAGAATTGGGCTGCTGAGAAGTGTGTTTCGCTCTTTCCCAGTGTCCTTGGCAGGGTGATCAATAACTGTAAAAAATGGGACAACACAAAAAAAAGAATCAATCAAAGAATCAAAGAAAACAAAACAGTAGCTTAAAATGTTATCAAATGCACCTTATCTCTGTTGGGTAATATAGGTGTCTGGATGATAGATTGACATGAAAAATCATCCTCCCTCTCCCTCACCCATTAATATTTCCATTATGTACCAAAGCATCACACCCTCTTGGCAGCTGAAGTGATTTCAACAAATGGGTCTCGAAACCACAACTCCAACTGCAAGTTTCTTATCTGATGATCTGCTGGTATGAGGATATGGTTGCTTCACTTACAAGAATAAGCGCACGTTATTTGCTAGATTACTGTCACAAGGATGTCAGTTTGTCTTGTTTTCCAAGTAAGTCCAAGTGGGGTTTTTTTTGGGTTTTTTTTGGGGGGGGGTTGTGTGTGTGTTTGTCTGTTACATTTTTGGTATAGTTTGTGTGCATGTCATTCTGTTTGTAAGAACAATAGTTCAAGAAGATTTGAACGAATTCTGATCAAACTGATCATTTTGATGAAAAATGACAATAACTTTTCATATTAAAGAGAACATGTTGCCATGGCGTACTTTTTGAGTATAGTTGAAAATTTTTGAATTTTATGTACATTGACTGTGAAGGTTCTCAGTCATCCAGGTCATTGTAGTCAAAGGATCTTGCAACGAAAAGCGTCTGGACTTCTTTAAGTTGCTTGAAGACGAGTAAGTTTAAGTTCTTTAAGTTGCTTGAAGACGTTTCACCTCTCATCCGAGAAGCTTCTTCATGAAGAAGCTTCTCGGATGAGAGGTGAAACGTCTTCAAGCAACTTAAAGAAGTCCAGACGCTTTTCTTTGCAAGCTCCTTTGACTTTATGTACATTGCAGTAATAAATATTATATATTATAACCACATAAAAATGTAGCAATTTGAGCGCATGTGCAGTGTTCCTGAATATCTATTATTCTGGGAAACAAAAATAAACTTATGTTCAAATGTTTCTCATTTCATATGTATTACAAAAATCCAAATTAATTATTTTAAACAATGACATGAATGTTACATATTTACGATACGCCACAAAATAAATTTAAGAAATAATAATTCTGCTCAAGTATATTAAAATGAGTTTCAGTGGTGCAAATAAAAAATGCCTGCACTTTGCACATGTTTATACTGCAAACTTCTTAAAGTATCTGTTAAAGAACAAAGAAGAATAAATTAATATATAGAAAATACCATGCTATTTGTTTAAAAGTAAACACAGAGTGTTTGGTGGAGGTCCATGCTTTTTTGTGTTTTGTTATTTAAAAAAGATAGATCTACCTTATACGTATATTACCTAACTGATTAAATTGTTATGCAACCTCATTAGGTGCAGAATATTTCAGAATGGCAGAATTTGTCTTTGGCCATTTAAAGGCCTCGAGTCCAAAATTGTATTATTTTTTGAGGTGTGAGTTTATTTTATATTCTCTCTGCCAAGCATCTTTCTCTTAATGCAAAGTTGGAAATCTGTCAGGTAGTTTTATATCCTCTATCCCACAGCTATGCAAAGTATGTTTATGCATGCAGTGTAACAGTCTGACTCACTAGTGGAATTCTGTTAAAAGAAACACGGTTGAACCACAAACACAAAGTATTTGAAAACTAAACAAAGCCAGCACTGTGAAAGCCTGTCTAGTTGTCGTCTCCGGTTGTCAACCTGTTCTCTGAGACATCTTTTGACTGATCTCTGGCCTAGCCCTGTACACAAATCATCACACCCCTGAACACAGTATGTTGCTTTTGACAAGGTCTATTATGTGCATACTTGAACTTGTAAGTTTTGTTTGCTAAGAAGTTAAATTACCAGCTAGTGTTTGAAAAACACTGTCCAGATTACAAAAGAGAATGCTTGTATGACTTTAAGAGGTATTTATCTTGCTTAAGCGTGACCTGCATTTCTGTGTTAATTCCTGTCCCTGCTGACCTCGATGAGCGCATGAAAGACACAATTGTGACCTTCTGTATGCCACTAAACTTTTGCACGCTTTGTCTATGTGCATGTTTGCTTTAATCTTCAGTACAGTATGAAAATCACAGCTTTCATTTTAATTATTCTTACAGTAATATATTATTCCCAACTCGAAGAGTTCAAAAAATCCAAGACAGTTGCCAATCTTTCCAGGAGCAGACATCCCAGCAAATTCACCACAAGGTCAGACTGTGCAATGCTCAGAACACAAGAGCTACATCTCAGGCTCTACAGGCCTCAGTTAGCATGTTAAATGTTTAAGTTAATGACAGTAAAGTGAGACAAAGACTTGTTTGGAAACTTTCTTCTCGTGCATTGCATTTAACCAAAGCGCAGTACAGCTGGAACAATGTCCTTTAGAAAGATGACAGAGAAAGACACAACTGTGGCCTGCTATACACAACTTTGTGCATGCTTTTTATATGACAGAGAATAAACTTGACACTCAAATAGGTTTAATGTGCAACTTGTGACTGTAAGTTTCCGCTTACAGTTAGGTATATTGTTAGCTATATTGTAGCCGCATCTGGCCCACAAAATATACCTAAGTCCTGGGCCTTGCCTATGGAAAACTTACCAGGGTCATAACAAATATTAATTGCAAAGTGTAATGTTTCATTGCTTGTAGTTATGAGGTAAGCTGTGCTGGAATGTCATAATACAACAAGTGAGTGTGGTGGTGAGCATTAGGAGTGGATTTACTATTTAACATGACTAAAGAGAAAGCAAATCCTGCTGGCAAATACCTACAGGTGTATTTGGCAGGCTTTAAAAACACTGCACGCACAGAGGTGTAGAAAACCTACCTTTCCTTGTAGTATGTAGAGAGCAAAGAGCGGATATCAGTAGATAAATCTGGAACCTCAGTTTGCTTTCTGGGCGAGGAGGGTGTTGCTGAAAATATTGAGGAAAGAAAAAAAAATAGAAGGAACAAAGGAAACAATCATTTGAAATTTTTCAGTTGTAAAACTCTTGACTGATTATCTTAACTCAATTTCTTACTGGAGATGTTTCAAACTGATAAGTAGTCAACTAGAAGGAACTAAAAGACTGAACAGCATTTTCTTTTCCTTTTAGAGACATTTTCTTCCTGTGTGACTTGTTTTAGTGATAGGGACGTAGTTTCGAAGAGAACATTTTGTTATTTAATCACACCCGTATTTAAGATGCTTCATTTATAACATGTTGTCATTTGGTCAGACTGACATGTTTGTCAGCAGGTGTCTGAGATAATGCAGCTATTCACGTCAACAGTATCTGGTTTGTTCTTTTGTGTCATTGTTCCGTAGTATTATTTGTCTTTTAGATCCTGCTATTTACTCAAACTCGTTTGTCAAGGTGTTACTCCAGCTTTTTACAGGTGAAGACTGTCTGAATTCCTGTTATGGAGAGACAGACAAAAAAACCTGTTCCCTAGTGCGTACTCTACAGCACATCAATCACACTTCTTCTATTTTAGGCAGCCATGTAATCCACCTAATTATGTGTCTGTATATAAAAGATAGGAGTAATCTCACAGTCTGTAAAATGAAGTCAAAGTCTCTTAAACGTGTACGCTTTCTAATTACCAGCACAGGGCGACTCCTCTGGTTGCAAAAAAGAGATGAATGAATAGATTTCTATGTGTAAATGATTCTCTTCTTACTTGATTTAAATCCATTAACACCTTCTATAGTCACAGTCTTATTCAATATAGTATGAGCATTTTGTAAATCCCAAAAGGTTGATTCTGTTCATCTGGAGAAAGCTTTTTCAGTGGGAGAAACGTATTGTCACTCATCCAAGTGACCAACCTTATAAAGTGCACAATGACTGAAACTAGCACCACTGAATGAACAATGTGCTGGGAGGTCAGTTCCTTGATGCAAATTCTCATGACCATTGATTAACAACTACTGATCAAAGTCCATTGATCAAAGACCATTGATCAATGGCCACGAGTACCATTCACAGAGACGTCGCTACTAGGGGTGGGTTTCAATAATCTATTTATTGATTAAAATTGATTTTAGCTTTAATAAAGCGATATTGGTTCATTAAAATCCTGCATCGATTTTTAAATATACATGTATTTTGCCATAAACGGCAGAATCTCAGGTTAAAGCTCAGAAAACTATTTCAAACACCACCAAACAGCTAAAACAGCAAACCAGAACAGGTAAATGGATTCTGCAAAAAGGTAGACACAAAGCGCGGTCCCGCCGACGCATCAGAATCAGTGAGATGTCAGCTTTCTCACCCTACAAGTCAAGTTAAATGGACGCAGACACGCCGTCGGGTCTGAGAGCCGAAAGCTCACTCATTTTGTTGCGTCGGCAGGTCTGCACTTTGTCTTTTTTTTTTTTGTGCTAGATTCTGAAACTGCAGGTTTTGTCTCTATCCAACCAAAATTGACTGAACCAGCAGCAAAAGAAGATCCTAAGCTTCACATTTCGCCTCACATAAACATCGTCATGAATTCCCTCTTGTTTTTGCTGTTTTGCTTCCACCACAATAAAATCACACTTCCTGCACAGCTCTCTCTCTCTCTCTCTCTCTCTCTCTCAGTGTACCTTAAGAACAGTTTCCCATACAAAAAAAACAAATTTTTCTGCATTATTTGCTTGCTTATTACCAGTGATGGGAATAACAGCGTTACAAGTAACGGCATTACTAACGGCGTTACTTTTTTTAGTAACGAGTAATCTAACTAATTACTATTCCTATCGTTACAACGCCGTTACCGTTACTAACAAGAAAATGCGGTCGCATTACTATTCTTCAACAAACAGATGGTTGAAGCTGTGTTCAGCTTACTGCACCTTATATCAGTTGCATGGAAGTAGCTGTTAGTCAGTAAGTGACAGAAATTATTTTTTTGGAGTGGCACAAATAATTTGTGTGGCATCTTATTGAATGCAGAACACCTGATTGTTTTGTAAATAGTTTGAAATGGTTATAAAAAAAAAGGGGGGGGGGGGTAAAAGGTAAATGGCTGCAAATAACTTTGTTGTTTGCAAAACCTGTGAATAGGATTTTAAAATTGACAATTTATATTTTCATTTAAAGTTATGAAATATGATTCATTAAACATGTTTGTGGTTGTTACAGTAAAAAATAGAACTTTTTCTACTCAGATTTTATGTTTTTTGTCTGATTTTAGATCAATTGTGTTAATACAGTATGTCAGAAAACTGTAAATTCAGACACGCGAGGTTGTGCTGAAAAGAATGATACCAAACAAGGCAAAGTAAATAGTTTTTAAATGGTAAATGGCCTCTATATGTATAGCGCTTTACTTAGTCCCTAAGGACCCCAAAGCGCTTTACACTACATTCAGTCATTCACCCATTCACACACTGATGATGGCAAGCTACATTGTAGCCACAACTGCCCTGGGGCGCACTTAAAGGTGAACTGTAGAGGGGAAAATCAAAAGAAGTCAAAAATGGACAATTATAACATTTTTTTTTTTAAAGTAATGCAATAGTTAATTTTTTAAGTAATTAATTACTTTTAGAATCTAGTAACTCAGTTACTACCTCTTTTTTTGAAGAAGTAACTAGTAACTATAATAAATTGCTTTTTCAAAGTAACTTGCTCCACACTGCTTATTACCCACTACTCTACTGTTGTGTACAGCGCTGTTGGCCGCTGGTTTTTTAAATGACTTCGGACAAGAAAGCCTAATTTCTGCGGTTCAATACCAAAGAAATGTAAACTTTTTAAAATGATCACAAATCTATGGAGCCCCGCAAGGGACTCCACACTTCCTTTCTTTGCTTTTAATGCTTCACCATACCAAGACATTTGGACAACTTCATGCTCCCAACTTTGTGGGAGCAGTTTGGGGATGGCCCCTTCTTCCTACATGACTGCGCACCAGTGCACAAAGAAAGGTTATAGCTGGAAAGGGGTGGACTGATATTATAATAAACCCTATGGATTAAGAATCATATTCATAGGCGTGTAACGACAGACAAGTGAATACTTTTGACAATATAGTGTAGGTGTTATATGCCAGTGGTATTTGGTTTGGGCTGAGCTACAAAGCTTATTTGTTTTGCATCACTCTTATGCAACATCATTGTTTTTTTTAACCTCAAACAACCCTCTGAATATGCTCTTCACAAACAGTAGCAAACCAAAGTCAGAAGTAGATCAGATTGGAGTGGATCCTCAACTCTAGCTAGTCGCAACAACAATATCAACGCTAGCGATATTAGAGACAAATATTTCACTTGTAAGTTGGCAACAAACCAAACACTGGTAAGGAACAGTGCATACTTAATTCATACGTCAGGGTGTAGAAATGTAAGTATAAATGCTTATAGAGCTCAGCATCTGAGGATGTGCAACCAGGCAACACCAGATCATGCTACTGCTAAATTCCTCTTATGCCACGTGGTCAAACAAATTCAGTAAATGTAGCTTCAATCTGTTTTTGATATTAAGTCAAAGTGAAAAAGTCTGTTTTAAAGTCAATTTAAAGTAAACATTCAATGATAAAAATTAAAGCTGTCAGATGTAGAAATTAAAGTCAGTTACTTTTTTGTTGTCGTTGTTTAACCAGGAAGTGAAACACTTGAGAATGAGACTGTCCTTGGCCAAGTCAGGCAAACCAAATGACTGGTAAGATAGTTCAAGGTTTTAGTTGAACACCATCTCTGGGGCTTCGGCATAAGCTGGCATCACTCAGTCATTGCGCATGTTACTCTACCTATTTCATGGTATAGAGATCCCTGCTTCGTCATTACTGATTTCCTGGAGCTCGGCATTTGTATCTTCATGAGGTTGTCACAACACTGTTTCCAATGGCCTGCAAAAATAATAATACAAATATTATACAATTATGTAGCAGATGAATAGAAAAAAATTCAATCCAAAATTGACATCAGCAATTATCTTGTCAAATTATTTTGAAATTAGCTGGCAAGCATGTTTGTTATTGCCCTGAATGGGTGTTTAAAAGCATATCAGTAGTATGATTGTTTGCATTGGCAAAAAAGCAATATTTCAGTATTGACCAATATTAAACCAGATTTACACTGTACAGTAATTTCAGTATTCTTGAGCAATGAAAGACATTCCCATCTGATGACACGGTCTTGATTTACCTGCTGGACAAGAGGCAGCGCAGACTGAAGCCACTAAAAAAACAAAAACTCTCAAAACTGCAAGGCATCACCAATCAAGCTTATCTAGACAAAGAGGCCTTTTTTTCCTGACAGTGTTGCACTCAGATTTGGCTTGTGTGCACACTGTCTGTATGCAATTAGAATTAAAAAAGCTTATGCTTATTTTCCCTATTTAACATTATTTATTATGTTCATGATTGTGTAACATAACATAAGAGATCTAATATGTAATTTAATCACAATTACATATTAGATGTACAAGGTGCTCTGTCGTTGCATCTGTTTTTTGCACGTTGCAGCCCACATGATGGTTCTCTGAATACTTTCTTTCAAAACTCGATAAAATTTATAAATAAATCCACACTGACAAACAAGAACTCCCTTGTTCACATCAACAAGTGACATAATGTCACATTCTCCTACTCACAATATCACTGCAGCAACATGTTCTGCAGTTGCCTTATTAAAAGAAGATTACAATGAAGATTAACAGTAATAGCCCTGACGTATGAAGAATCTATTTTTATTTAGAGACACACCTTTTTTAATGATCATGATTTCTACATGCATGACCTTTCCAAAGAAAGACAGACAGGACTCTCCCTGTGTATGTGGGATTAGTCAAATAAATGTGCTAATGACCGTCCCTGCTTGGTTAATCTGTGAACAAGGCCACATGGACACCTCTAGAAAGAACCTGGGTGACTCCAGGCCTCGTCATTTAATCCAATTAAGCCTTAGACACATCTCATGAAAAATCACCTGATCGTGTGTGGAGTTCAATGTGACATCTCTGTTTTGGCTTCTAATATATGCAGAACAATTTAGTTGTCTTTTAAATTTAAGTATAGGTTATTGAGTGTACACTGATGGCAGTCTAAATTGAAACAATACAACAAGTATGTGAACTGTTAACTACTTCCTCCTTCTACTGAATTGTGAAGAGTCACATACCAAACGGTGTCTATAAACTCAGCTAGCGCACTCACTTTGCACGTGAGCAAAACCCTTTCAGTTTGACACCAGGAAGAGAGACAAGATAAATCGGAGGGTAATGTCAAGAAGGGCATTTGGTGTAAAATCTATCCCGATTCACTGTGGGGACCCGTTTGGGAAATACAAGCGTAATGCGTTAAACATCTCACGATGTACAATATTACAAATACACGTCAGCTGGTCTCTTGACTTTCTATAATGTCACCTGCAGGATTGTGGATACAGGTGGAACGATATGTTGATGGAGTAGATAACCCTTACATTCGTCCCCGTGTATAGATAAATATGTTATTGCATTGATGATATGTAGCCTCCATCCATTCATAAGAATGGAGACTGAGTTTGATTCAATTTCACTTTGTTTGTCTAGCTCTATTGTATTAAAACACAGGTGTGACTGCAACTATGTTAATCTTTATTTTCTTTGTCAGTCATGCAAAGGAATATGCGGAGGTGGCATACTGTTTGTGTTGCATTCTTACTGTATGAATCTGCAAACCTTGTAATGTGTTAGTTAACCACCAGCTTAAATGCAGAGGCCTGGCTTTGCCTTGAAGCAGCCATTTAGTCTTTCTCCCAGCTTTCCTGTCTTCTCACCATTGTTCTATCAAAATAAAAGCTAAAAAGCACCGCCCAAAAATAAGAATGAAGTGAGAATGAAGCTAATTATGAGCCGGTACTTGATTTCCACGCTGCTACTTTCTGATTTGATGTTCTTTTTGTGCTCCTGGAACCTTATCAAAAACAAGATTGTGCATCTTAGAATAATATTTTTACGTTTTGGCAAAGGCCTGCTAGGAACTAGGCATGAAAACCTACAACATTCTCAGTAATCAGGGCTCAACACGATACTGCAAGCAACTATCTTATCTTATGTATGCAGACTGAAAAGAAAAGTGGGGAAACAACTACCGTGGCTCCGCCCAAAGACGATAAAAGTTAACGAAATCCTATCGTCACTTTTTCCGAACATCCAATTGAAACTGGACGTTTTTACAGCCGAGATACACGTGAATGCTAATAAACTGTGATATGTGATATGAGGTTATTTCACCTACCGGTTGCACCTTCTTTGTTTAATGAAGATATAAATGCTGTCTTTTTGTTTTTAATCTCCTTATGTTTTGAAAAAGCATCATAAAAATTCCAAAATTGCAACAGAACAACAAATTGTGTGATCAGTTTCAGATGTCTATGGGCTTGTGAACTGTGCTGCACATGTGCTTTTTGGTGCACGCACACCTCCAAAACATTTCATTACAATCATCCTGTAAGTTTGATATCGTATTTTGGGGGATTATGCAAGCTTGGCAGAAGTGTGACCTTTCTTTGTTCAAAGAGTGTTCACACTTGTTGGTTTAGTTTTGTGCACATCCTGTTCTTGTATAAACGTACTCATAATTTCGTTGAAGTAAAAACTGGACAGACCAAACCTCCCTGTAACGTCTCCCTTGCAAATCCAGCGTCATTCTGTGTAAAGATTGTGTAAGAAGTTCTGCTAGTAGGTCATGCCAGGGATTTGACTGTCAGTGCTTGTAAAGCCCAAAGAACTTAAAAAAAAAAAAAAACAAGCAAAAGAAACAAAGAGTTCGTTCAGGCCTCACTCATGCTATGGATGTGCTGACAGAGGGCCTTCCTCCAGTGCTGTGTGTCTTCAAGTGTGTATGTGGTAAGCACGTAAGTTATGTCCTCCCCTTGACGTTGTGTATTGATGTATATTTTCTGGCAATTGGCAGGATCTCTGTCAGACATACAGACAACGGTATCCTGGGAGGAAAAACAAAGAATAACTTTTGATTTTATTATGAAAAAGTACAAAATGAGAGCTTTCCTGGAGGTATGCAAACAGCTGAGACACTGCAGGTAGTCTCAACGCTACAGCTGATCTACTGAAATACCTTTTGTATTACCTAAATGGCTACATCACAGGCAACAAACTGCTCGTCGCTGCATTCCATACTGCATTAAAAAAGCTGAATGGTCATTGTTAACTAATAGAGAGAAATTCCATGGTATGTTTCCATGATGCTCACCTGCAAAAGCTGCCAAGCTTCATGTTGTAGGTATGCTGCTCTGAGCATACCCACAACATGAAGTCACCATTTAACTGTATCATATGTTAAAATTGAGCTGCTCAAAAACAAGACTCCCTGAAAATCTCACACTTAAAGAGAAAATCTATACTCAAGTGTTCAGATATTCTTAAGTTGAACTTTGTCTGTCTTGTGGTGAGTCTATCCTTGCAACAGTGGTAATTCTGATACACCAACATCTTTTTAAAAAGAGCTCGTAATCTCAGTGTTGTTCCCTGCCTAAACAGAAAATTATTTTTGGTTTTAAAAGGGTAGAAATAAGAGGGGATTCAAGGAGATGATTTTTTTAATCTCTAGCTTTGAACATACATGACTAATTTTATTAGAGCTATCTATATAATAATTTAAAAAAAGCTGTTTTGAACTGCGCAAAATATTTCAGTCTCCTCACCCTTACAACACTTTTCCTCTCCACTAAATAATTCGTCAGTGCACTCTAGTGGCCTTGGTGTGTAATTATAATCAACACTGGCAAAATGCTAAATGAATCACTGCCTTTATTCATCAGACTTTGCTTGTTTAGAACCAACCTTTGTGATTGGAATCTCAAGCAAGGGATTGTCCTCAGACTCCAGGTCTTCTTGACTTTGATAACAGAGAAGGGCTTGCCTCTTGAGGACACCATAGACAGTTTCAGAATAATTACAGTCCTCTTCTGAGCTGAGCTGAGCAAGAGCAGTGAGAAAAGTCATAATGTGAACAATAATGATAAATGAATAACAGTACTGAACAATTTAAAAAAAGGTTCTGTCACCTTGATTTTGATTTGGCCACTTATCACTGGCTGAATCATGCACAGAGGCTGAGCAGCTAAGCAACAACACATACTTCCGTACAAAGGCAACCAGAATGGATTATCCTCTGGCAAAACATTAAAAAGGATTAGGAATTTTAAAAAGATTCCTTATTTATGTATATTTAGATTTTAAGGAGGAGAGAGGACAGGAAAGGACAGGACAGGAGACTCACCTGTCGCTGAAAGTGATAAATCGTGCGTTTTGAAACCTTCCCGGACATGCTCAATTCTCAGGGTTGTGTGAGCCAAAAGGTTGTACTTAGGTCCCCTTGAGAAAGACAGAACTTTGCACAATCATTCTTTTTTTTTGTTGTTGCTTTTTTTTTTCCAAGCAACACCATAAAATGTTTCCTTGTAGTGTCATGCTCACAGTGTCAACAGGTCAGGTGATAATGTTGGTGGCACGCTTCCGGATCTTACATCTCCACTGGAAATGGATCCGCAAACAGCTGCAGACTCGAATGCAGTACGGATCTTTTTCCCAGAGGAGCATCCCAAAGAGCCCCCCAGACGGCTCACTCTCCAGGATCCTATGGCCCCAGGGGAGAATTCATCGACCACGCAACTGCTGTACAGCTCAACACGAAGCTGAAACCCTGGACTTACCTCGTTGCTGCTCACACAGAGAAAATGCATTTACTTTTTTTTTTTCAACAAAAGCTTGCAAATGTGTTTTTAAAGAGGATGAGAAAGCAGAAACTTAGCTTTCAAACTGAAATAAAAAACACTTGACTCACAATATTATAGTGTCTTCAAAACAGATGTCAGTTAATGTCCTGTCTACCATCACCAGGTCAGTGTCGTGGATCTCTGTGCCACACTGGATCAGGCAGAACACGGCACAGCGATGTAGTTCTGAAAGTAAGAACTTTAGGTAAATTAAAGTTTAAACACTTGATATATATTGGGAATGAAGAATCTTTTGTGTATTTAGCCAGTACATAGGGATTTAGTGCACATAGTGTAAACCAAAAAATGCACCAGATGCTATCACATGCTCTTTTTTTTTTTTACATTTTGACTTACCTCCTTTGTTTTTGAAGTACTCTGAGTCTTTCCACATGAGGGGGATTCGCAGGTCTTGAGAGTGCACATCATGGTGTTAGAAATGTAAAATGCTAGTTGAAGTACTTTTAGAAATCTTTTAAAACACACCTGAAAGTGCTACTTTTCCTGTACATGGCACCAGATCGTCAGATGGCCTGCAGTATATTACGTAGTATGTCAATCAACCACTCAGAATAAGGTTAGGTTTGGGGTTGGGGTCCATTTAAACAGTCAGCTTAACTGAACTCTAATTGCAGGCTAGAGCCATGGATTTTTGCACAAACATGATTTGTTTCTATTCTATGATACAAGTGTATATTTACATCATCCTCAGTATATAGTTCAATTATCTGACCTGCATCCCACACTTTGTAGGATTTGTACTTTCCTCATCCTCTGTAGTTGGCTGAGCAAGGCCAGGATGCGGGTATTGCAGGTTAGGAGGCTCTTGGAGGCCTCCAGGGCCTGCTCTCTTTGGGAACATGCTGCCAGTAGCTTGCAAGCTCCTTCACGCATGCGTACCTCCCTCTCAATGTGCTGAAGCACTGCAGTATCCTGCCACAGATTTGTGTAAAAGAAAAGACAATGATATCAGAACTCAAAGGGCATTGTCAAAGATTTTGTGCTATTGACTTTAATTACCAGCTGTTACATAAGAGCTCAGAAGATGTTGGTGCATCACTTTAATCCTTGGATATATAAGCAGTGCCAAGGTTCTTGTTAAAGGTTTGTGTTAACAAGGATGTTTTTGAGAAGTATAAATATAGTAGTGTGTCCATGTGCAGCAGATTGAATTCCTTCAAGGAATTCTTTATGCTCAATCCACTTAGAAGCATATTTCCTAATGAGCTTTTCTCTGTTTGAGAGTACTGGTTTATTACTCCACAATGTGGGCATTACAATATAAAGATCTAAAGTGCACGTGAGTAGACACACATCAGGTAGCATGACTATCAACAGTAAATTTCCAATCATTATGTACTTATTGCTGTTAACTATCAGACCTGTTTGACAAAGAACTCTTATTCGCACTCCTCTGAAGTGATTAACAAGTCATCATTTGAGGTGAAGTACAGCTTTAGTGATCAGAGGACTGTTGCATAATTCGGTTATGTTTTCTGAGCCTAAGCTTTGTTGGTATGTGTAATTCACTATGAACAGAGCTCAAATAATTAAACAAACTCTAGTTTTACAGTTGTTTTTCTCCCAGATCTAGAAATATGTTTTAGTAAATTAATTTTTCTTTCACATATAGTACAGTGGCAAATGTGTGCATGGAAAATGGGAAATAGGTTAAGCAATTAATTGAAACTTGCAAACATTAATTGAAATATATTATAAAGGCAAAATCATAGTTTGTGTTATTCTATTGAGCTTGAAAGCCAGTATTTGGTATGACCACTTTTATCCTTGATCACAGCCTCGGTTCTCTTAGACAAGCGTTCTTGTAATGTCTTTGTCTTCAGGAATAGCTCTCCGGGCTTCTTGAAGAACAATCAAAGCTTTTCTTTGGATGTGGGCTGCTTTTTGTTCTGTATCCAGATGATCCCACACTGCTTCAAGGATCTTGAAGTCTGGGTTCAGAGGAGGCCAATCCATGACTGACAGCATATCATTATTTGTTTTTGTAAACTAAACTAAACTAAAAATGTCAATAAAAATGTCAATGTCACAGGCCAGTTTTTGCGTTGTTTGGCATAGCTACGGCTTCTCTTCCTGTATTCTCTTCCTTAAGAATTGGTGATTCTTACTCTTTATTTCTGATTAAGTTTCAGTGAGCAGTAGATGGGTCATCTGAAGGGCCACCTGCATGTCTCAGGTCCTGTGTCAAGTCTTTGCTTTATTTTATTCCCCCTTTCTTAATGAATGCTGTTTTCTGCTGTAGATAGTTTTTAGGCCTGCAACATCTTCTTTTATGCTCAGTTGGTCCAGTTTCCTCTATTTTTTTGAGGTCACACTTCACACCATGCTAGCTAAATAGTTTTGGCATTCTGATGTGTTTTTGCAACAAGGTGCTAAAAATACCATTTAAAATTGTTTTTGTTTTTGTTTTTTGATAGGCTGTCTGTTATGCATGGACATCATTCCTTGTTCAGATATTTACAGATCTATGATTTATGAAGTTAACAATTAAGGTTACATTTTACACCTAGATTTTTAGATATCATCAAAAGTAATGTATCAAATCACTATTTACATTAATCTAAAAGTCAGTCAATATTAAAATAATATGGTTTTACTAACCTGCGTATTATTATTCATCTTCCTTGTGTGCAGGACGTAAGAGGACTGTTCCACCACCGCTGAGTCAGGAAGTACACTGAGCGAACTGGATAATCTCATAGCTGAGTGAAACGGCGTTAAGAGTGGACCTGCAGACGGAGCAGTCAGTTGCTCAACAGAGAGATCAAAACAGTCTTAAGCCTCCCTACAAGAGGTTGCAGCATGAGGGATTAAAGTCTCAAACGTTTTAGTCTTTTAGCCATCAGCTCCAGCATAAGTACCACGAACACCTAAATATAGAGCAATTAAAACACGGACAAACCATAAAATATAAGATAACTATTTTTGTTCAGAATAATGATACCGTTAGGGAACAACAATAAACAAGGGAACATTGTAAATATGCATCCAGTATCCAAAACTACATGACATATTTGGCAACATGTTATAGATTATCATGAAATTAATGGCGACACGCAAAATAAACCAGGGCTTGTCAATTAAACACATTTTCATGCTCATTTTTGGCTACCTTTGTGGCAAAATAGGAAGAATTACTGCATAGCAATGAGGTGATCCTGAAGTAGTGTGCAAGGCTTCACTCTTATTAAAATTTACAAAGAACTGGTAAGTAATGGTGAAGCGGTACTTGAGTAATGAGAACTAATCAGCAGCACATGTTCGGGTAACATATAATACATGATTAGCAGTTTTAATGCCACCATTATATACTTGGGTTTAGCAACTTGTCATTATCTAGTTAGTACAAGGTGCCTGGATCAGCAGTTGTAAGGGAAGTGATGCTCAACATGTTAGCTTACAGTTAGGTCCTTACTTATTCTTAAGCATCTTTGTTATTATTTGCTTTTTTGTTTCATCAGCAGGCTGTAAACCCATTTTCAATAGCAAACTAGCATGCATGTACATTAAGACAAGACAAATCTAGGTGTAATACTTTTTATTCAGATGTTACAGAATTACATCTTTCACTTTCAGTGAGCCAATGTAACCCTTAGGGTAGAAAACACAATGTGTTTGTATGAAACAAGAAGTCAAACGGTGCATAACTGTGTGGTACAGTCAGTGACTACTATTTCAACACTATATATATAAACATATTAACATACAGCAGAAACTCTTTGATTATTATGTTTTGAATGGCTTCCTTTTTTTTAAAACAGAATTTCTGTCTTTATTTTTCACATATGTTACATTTCTAAAGTACACAGAAGAGACAAAAAAGGCTTTACATTGAAATGTACAACTGTACATGGTCTTAATCTACCAAACTGTGTTTTTCTTCCTGAGGTCAAAGTTATCTGAAAATTAATCAAGAATGGACAAAAAAATATAAAAAAAAAAAAAAGAAGTTGCTACCATGTACAATATTTACAAATTCACAGTTGTATCAAAAAGAAGAAAAAAAAATAGGTAAGACATCTGAGGTTTGAAGTATTTTTTATGAAAAATTTCAGCAAAAGCTGCCACCACTTCAGTCAAACTATGAGTCACAAATGTTTTGTTATCCATTTGTACAGTGCTTTAATATTTAAACTAACTGAGGTTTAAAATGTTATTTCAACAAACTGATACTCTAGTAAATGTTTGCAAATGTGAAACTGTATTTATCAGTATGGTGAATAAAGAATTAAAACTAAAAGCAAAAACAACAACAACAAATTTTCAGTTATAAATTATTATTTACACAAATAAAAATTTGAAAAGCCAACAAATTCCACTTCTTAATCCAACTACGTAGGTGGCTTCTACCCCTCATCCACTTCTGTGAAAATGTTGGTTAAGAAGTACTGAGACACACTGGTGGGCTCCTCTTCAAGAGCACAGCTGTCCACACAGTCATCCTGCTAAGAAGGAACAAAACAAAGAGCACATCTCCATGTGAGCGTGTATGAACTACACTGAATGAAAAACAGCTTCAATCCACCTGTACCTTTCTTACCTCTGTGCACTGTGAAGTGCTAGGATCTGGGCTCCTGGGACTTTGATCACAGGTCTCTCTGATGATCACTGCTGTTTGTGTTAGCAGTGTAATCGATGCTGGACGGGTTTCTTTTAGTGGCTGTGTCAAACTTTGTGTGGAAGGGACATCATGTGATGTGGAGGCTACAGGCTCTGGCAAAGATTGTTGTCCTTCAGTCAATGGAGTTTTAAGCTTAGATCGCTTGGAAACTGGTTTGCTAGGTGGAAGATTTTGTGCAGGACTGGTTTTCTTTGTTACAGAAAGCGAGGAAAGAGAGCCTTTGGGTTTTCTGTTAGATATTAGAAAAAATTAAACATTTCTCAATAATTGATAGAAGCCAATGTGAAATCAGAGCAAATTTTTCAAAATGAAACCGTTCTTCACCCACCTCACACACCTCTGTGAAGTTTGAGCTTCCATCTCAATCTCCTCATCACGGCTGCAGCTTCCCCTTTGAGCTTCCGTGACAGCATCACTGGCTTTTGGCTCCTGGGTGGTGTTTGTTTGGGTAGGTGCTGACTCCGCTGCTTTCACTGACTTGGTCTTGCTGGTTTGTTTTCTCCTCGCTGCATTAGGTTTAACTTGCAGTTTGGCTGGTTGAAAGATTCATACAGGGTGAAAAAGCAACATTTAATGTTCACATTTAAAAAATGTTCACACATTTTTTGAAGTGCATTTGGTGAGTATGTATTTATCCTCTGCATACCTCTTCTTCCAATACTTGTTTGTCTGTGCTTGTTAAGTGCTGCTTCAGGCTCATTATTGTCCACTGCATCTGGAAACTTTGGTGGATTGTCCGTAGTATGTTCTGCTCAATTAAAGCACAAAATTAAAGTTACACAGCATGAATCAGCATGACAATCAGTAGCTTGAAAGTGACAGAATAATGCAGTCACTCTACCCTGTGGATCCACTGTTTTCTGGATGTTATGATCCTGATGGATGGAAAAACACAGCATGTGAAACAAATTTAAAAAAAAAAATTAAAAAAAATCACATTCTGAACGCCAACAGTTCTTCTTTACAGCTTTACTTACAATCAGTGTAGATGGGTCCAGCACAGTCTCTTCCACACTGATGAGGCCTGTCACACTCTTTATCTCTTTGAACATGGGCATGGGGACATTAGACAGAGACCCCTCTCCTGCCGCTGCCACACTCTCTCCAGAAACACCGCTAAAGGATGAAGTAAGGCACAGAATTAGACACCAAACTAAACAGACTACATGCTTGCTCACACAGCTAGTTGATTAAAAGCAGACACAAACCTTGGTTGAGGTATTGATGACTCTGTTACAGAAAGACAAGAGGGGTTCTCAGTTGCACTGTTCACCACCTCCCCTGATGAGGACAACGGGATCTCAGTCAGAGAGAGGATGAAAAACGGTTCGTCGGGATCTGAAGGCACCTTCTCTGGCAGCACTGAAATTTAAAAAAGAAAAAACAAATAAATAAATAAACAAATCAAGAAGAACATTAAAGTTTACACAAAATTTAAGTGATATGACTGGAACATAATATATGATTGACTTACTCTCTTGAAATATTGGAAAACTTTGGATGTCGTTTGTACTTAATGTTGATGTATTCTAGGATTAGGAGAATTAGAGAAACATTTAAGGAAACTCAACTACTTACTACCGGAGAATACCTCTAACTACCCCTGTTAGGATTGGATATATAATATTAACTTATATTAATTAGCAAGTCTTGACACAACATTAACAGATTTGATTGCAAAGCTTGTAAAAGGATTAAAGACCAGACAAAACAGAGTCATTATTGAGTTTACCTGGGTAGAAGACACTTGGTTCACAGGAACCAGAGGGACTTCAGAATTACTTGAATGATGGTCATGTTCACTTTGTTGTTCATTAACTTGTGCCAAACATCCAAGAGGAGAGCTGGGATCATTTGGATGGGGATCCTTACTGTCTAAGGTGCCCAGTGCTTTCTCCGAGTCTACAGGTTGAGATGTTACTGAACAGACTTCTACATTTATTGAACAATGTCCTGATGTTAGGTTTTTCTCTGGCAATTTCACAGATTTCTGTGCATCATTATTGTCCCCGGGGTCTTGTGCTGGTGCTATATTTGAGATTGTATCAACATGTTCTGCAGATTTACTGATATCAGCTGGCTGTAGTTTTGTCTGTGTAATTCTAGAGGATGATCCCAAATTAGGTTTCGGTTTGACTTTGGGAAACCGCCGCAATCTTTGTGGGATATTTTGTTCCAAGCTCACTGATCTTGACATTGGGCCACATACAGCATCTGTCTTTTCCCTCTCTGATGAAGATATTTCTTCTCGGCATTTATTAGAAGAGCCAGATTCCAGTGATGGTTCAGAAACTGAATAAGCATCAGGACTTTTAAATTCATTTGATTTTTCTGGAGAGGTAGGACTGCAAGATGGCTGGGCTTCTGCATCTTTCATTCTGTAGTCACTTGATTCAGACACACAAGTCTGGCTACAGGATTTTTCCACAACCTGCGTGTGTATAACAGGGTCTTTTGTGGATTGCGAGTTTGACTGCATAGTTCTTGGTGTTTGTTGCAGGTTTGGTTTGGGTTTGATTTTTTGCAATCGACGACTCCTCAACTGAGAAGCAGATTCAGCTTCACTCTTTTCTTGATTAAGCGGTGACTCTTGAACAGGTGCAACAAGAACAGCCTGGTGGACGCTGCTCTTTTGGAGTGAGGCTGATTCTGCATCACCTGCTTCCCCAGCTTGTGAGACTGTGACTGCTGAGTCAGGTGCTACCACATTTTTACAACTACTCACAGATGTGGTAATACAAGGCATGTTTTTTTCTGGATCAGATGCTGACTTTGTCTCACTGCTGACCTGATCCCTGCTGGGTTCAAATTGTGATGCAGAGAGGTTCACGTTTTCTGAGGCACTCTGATCTGAAGTTGCTGCACCCAAGTCTAGTCTAACATTTGTTAAACTAGACTCCTCATTTGTTAATAGCTCCTCTGAGAGTGTAGATGTAGAAACTATATTTATTGATGGTTTTAAAACTGAAGCAGGGTCAGTGTTTTCACTCAGTTTTTCAGAGGACAGGGTGCATACTGGTTGTGGTTCCACCTTTGCTGTTGTT